CCCCCCCCCCCCCCCCCCCCCCCAGCACAGATAATTCCTTTTTCCCTTAAGCTGATCTTGGTACTTTGTCGCAGCTAAGAGAATGACACATGGGAACTTACTAGAGCAGACTCACCGTCTTCCAGCTTAACCTAGGGCGCCAGGCCGCCCTTGCCACTGTATCGAACTTACTGGCCCTGGCCGTGCACAACATAAATTTAGATCAGATATTTAAATATGCCAATGGGGCCTCTGCTGCTTCCTTCTGGCAGTTCTAGGAGACGACTGTAGTTTGTAGTCCTGACTCCCAGCTTTTACCAGTCCCCTATATGATAGTAGAGGACTGGTATGTATGTATGTATGTATGTATGTATGTATGTATGTATGTATGTATGTATGTATGTATGTATGTATGTATGTAGACAGCCATGCTGATCTCCTGCTCCAGGGCAGGTAGAGTCCAGCAGAAGAGGCAGATTCCTTAGGAAACACGGTAAGGCTCCTAATGAGGCAGGTTAGAAACAAAGTATCAAGTGCAGGCGGTAGGCAGCCGTCTGCTCTCTTGAGGAGACTTTTCCCAAAAGCTCTGACCAAATCCCTTTTTCCATTTTGAACGATGCACAAAGCAAATGTTTGAGTTTCCAATGTCAAAGTTAGAGAGAGTTAAAGCCTGTGCTTACACAGTAGGCAGGGCCACCCAAGACTGATTGCTTTTTACCTATTGTTTTCTAAGTGACTGTCTTGGAGAGAGGGAGGGGTGCTCTGGAGCAGTGGGGGAGCCCTGGGCAAGGGAAATGAGCACACTCCTTCTCCCATGCCCTGAGACCTGAGAGAAAGACAGGCACCACAGGAGCCCTGAGAAACGAGCAGGAAGGACTGAATCCCTGACCCTTCATCCCTGCTCAGTCCTCAGCTCTCCCGAGTGCCATTTAAAAGAAACTTAAATCTGAACGCAAGCTCTATGCAACCCACTGAACAGCCTCCAGGTAGGGTGAAGAAGAGGACAAGGGCCCACAGGAACGTGGGCTGTGCCTTCAAACATGCCTGCACTTGGTAAAATGGATTCTTTGAAACTAAACCTCACCGTTGGCACTGCCCTTTGTTATTATTTTTTTCTGTCTTAGAGATGATTCTTGCAAAGTTGACGTTTCTAATTGTCCTTTGGATTTTGCTAAAATGCTCATTAAAATGTCACACTGTGGGATTTATCTACAGATAATGTAAATTCCAAGCAGGGAGGACCTCACTTAGGCGGTACAGAAGGCTGTTAGGGCCTAGCTCTAATCAGCGTGATGCTAATAAAAGAGGGATGTATTTTGCATAATAATCAAGGCCCTTGCCAGCCTCACCCTGCTGATGCTTCAGGGCCCCCTCGGCTGCCTCTCCCAGCTGCCTGTTGTTCGAGAAACAGGCAAAGTGTATGACACACATACACACCGGACCCTGGCTCCTACGTTTTCTCTAGGCTTTGTCCTGTAAGCCCTGGTATTCTTGGTACCCGCTTTCTGACCCGCGTTCTGGTCACCAGTTGTGCAATGTAGAGGGTGGGGACAATGGTCGGGAAAGTTCCTGATATTATTGCTACAGAAATAAAAATTTATGTCCTTAACATGTCTCTGGCTTAAAATATAAAAGCTATATACATAGCGTAAAACTTGACTCTCTGGCCAGCAGCTCAGGCTGTCAGGCAGCCAGTACCACCCCAGACGCAAAGGTTTAACTACTTGCAGCTGAACAGTCCTTCAGAGATGTTCATTTCTTATTTGTAGCAAAATAAATAACAGTGGATAGATAACTAAATGATGACGTTAGCTGGCAAACACGGAGATAGACTACGGCGCAGCCAGCCATCTGATAAAAATCATGTGACTACTGGACAAGAATGAGGCAGATCTTTCCAATGGAACATGGAAAATGTCCAAGTGGAAAAAGAGAAGCTTTCCCCAAAGGGGTGAATAGCA